AAAATAAGGGTGTGTGTGTGAAAGAGGACGCAACAGCTTGTGCCTCCTCGCTTTCCCCTTCACTTAAAGGACAAAAGGTTGTCTGAATGTAGCGGGTTCGGTTTGGGAGAGGGTCGCCCTAGAGGATCTAGGGATTGCGGCTTTAAAAGAGGCTTATTTATTGATTTGTTTGTTTCTGTGTATTAGCCGCCCGACTTCAATGGACTAAAACAAGGAAGGCAAGAAGGCTGTTTAGAGTCAACCCTGGTTTTGTATTCCTTTCTTTGCAGCGAAAGAGTGAATTTAGCATTAAATAAAGAAGGAAGATCAGAGAGGGGGATTTTATTGCACTTTATCCCAGCCCCTTCGCATCCCAAAACAAGATCCCGCAATGCGCCTTAAGCGTTCCTTGGGAGAGAGAGAAAAGAGAGAAGAGAGAGAAAGAAATGGGCCTACTCAGAAGGAAACCCACCAGGCCTGATCTCCAAAGGAAAGAGAATATTAGAGGGGGGGGCATTGCCCAACACAAGATTTTAGTAACCCCCATCCTATTCGACTTTATCTGGATGCAAAGGCTGTATAGGATCTCAGCCTCCCAGCGCATCCAACTGAGAACATTTTTAACACACACACACACACACACACACCGTGCCTGCCTGGATTTTGCCCGATCCTCTTTGGGAAACCGAATCACTTTGCCAGGCGAAAAGGGGGACATTTATTTGCAAGGGCCAACTACCCCGAAGAAAACTTGCCTTACTGGCTAAAATCAACCTTAGATCTCAAACCCAGCGCCGGGAGATACTCCTCAGAGGGACCTTCTGCTGAGACGCAACCGAGCGCGGTGCTGAGATTTGGAGGATGAAGGAGAGGAAGAGGAAGGTCAGCCAGGACGCGGCGGCCTCCAATTCCCAGGACCCGCCCAAGGAGGCCCAACTCAAGCCCCGAGGGGCTGGGATAGCTTTCCCTGCGCCAAAACCGCTCCGGCCTCTTTCGAGGGGAGAAGCTGGATTGCCGGAGCCCTTGGCAACCGAAGAGGGAAAAGAGAACAGCGGAGGGGGATCGGTAGCCTTGGACCCGCTACTAAGTTTCGCAAACTTGTTTGCAGGAGGAAAGCAAAGCCGAGCCAAGCGAAACAAGGTGGTGGTGGTGGTGGGGATCCCAGCGATGGTAGGGAAACGATTCGGGCTAGATTCAGCCGAGCGCTGCTGCGTTCTGACACCCAAGAGGCTTCCAAACAAGCCCACCTGTTTGGGTCGTGAGAAGTCCTGCCGCTCCGAAACTCGGGGAGGAGGCAGCTTAGCGACCCATCATCCGCTGCTTGGCGTTTTGCAGGGACCGGAAGAGAGAGAGGCCTCTGCCCCGTGCAATGTGGGGTGGGGTGGGGGAATGCAGGCCTCTCCCGGTTTGGAGAAGCCAGCCCTCTCTCTCCACGCAAAGAAAAGGCGGTTTCACAGGACCTTTCCCTTGCTTTCACCCTCCCCCCTCTCTTCCTCCCCACCCCTCCCCGCGAACCTGGCTTCCTTCACGGGGCCTCCAGAGAAGCCTTTTCTCCAGCCGATGGCTAATCCGGCGCCGTTTCTGTTCTAAGCCCCGGCAGAGAAAGGTTTGAGGTGAAGAACGCAGGGCGCGCAAAAGCAGGATTTGCGGAGGCATCTTCCCAGCCGGCGGGGAAATCTATGCGCCTGAGTGAATCGATCCCCCAGACACAAACATACACAAATGCACACACACAAACGCACAGCAGTTGCTCAAATCATGCAATCAATTCCTGACCTTAAACCAGTCCGTGAGTTGAGGACCTGAGCAGAAAAGCTCTCCTCCTCCACCCACTCCCCTTTAGACATCCCACACCCACCAAAAACGTCCCTGCCAGGAAGGCGCAACTTTGCAATACACCTCGTCCCCCCACTATACTCTTCGCAGCGAGCCTTGTGCGAGGACAGCCCCGCTCCGGCTTGCAAAACGACTGGGGGGGGGTGAACCACTCCCCCCTTTTTTTCGCCCCACAGGCCCCTTCCTTGCCCTCCCAGCGAGGATCCGAAGGGAAGGCCTGTTTCTGCCGCGATTGAGAAATTTAATTTTGGAAAGGTTTTTTTGAAGAAATCCCTCTGTTTGTCGCCTCCCCCCTCCCTCTCTCTCTTTTTTTTTATCAGGGAGAGAAGAAGAAAGGCGGTTGTGGGGGCAGACAAGTCGGTTTGTGAAGTGAAATAGCTCTGCGTGATCTCATAGACGTGCGAGGCGCCCCGCAGACGGGCGATGCCTCGTTCGCAGCGGGGATCCCAAAACGGGCCCGAAAATCAAAGTTTTCTTTTAGAGAAAGGCCTGTCTCCCCCCCCCGTCCGCCCCCCCCCCCCCCCCTCCCCCCCCCCCCCCCCCCCGACAAAAAATTGGGAGGGGGGGGGGAATCCCTTTTTGGTCTTTTTTGGGCTGCGTTTAGTGGCGGCGGGCTGTTCAGTTTAAAGACACCAGGCCTTCAGCATTTAAAAAAACTATAAAGAAACATGGGGGGAGGGGGGAAGGAGGGGAGACTTGTTGATCTTTCTCCTTCCACCCCCCCCCACCCCCCCAACCATTAGGTGCTGAAGCTGAACCCTCCGCCCTCCGAACCCCTTTAACAACCTAATGGTGCCAAATTTACCACGCGCGCTTGCAAAGAGGATGGGAAAATCGGTAATGTGGCTTACTTACCTTGTTGAAAAGGGCTTGGAGGCCGGAGAGTAGATGAAAAGGATTTCCCGGGGGGGGGGGCTTCATTTAATATTTAATATATATATATATAAGAGATGGGGGGGAGGATGAAGGAAACCAAGGAAATCCTGGTTTTTTGGCTCTCTCACCCGCTTTATTCAGGAGTTGTTTGCGTGGACGCGCTGAACAAACACAGCCCCGCGTGCGCGCGTGTGTGACACCCGTTGCTCGGGAGAATCCAATCATACCGACGCCTTCGATACTACTTCTTTTTTTTTCTTTTTCCCCAGAAGAAAATGTTTAAGCTGAAGGGGGAGAGAGGAGGAGGGGGGAGAGAAAAAGGGAGAAAGCCCTAACAAACAGCAATTTAAACTGTGTGGGCCATTCTGAGCCCCGGCGGGCGGGGGGGGGGAGGGAAGGGGGGAAGCCTCTTTTATTAAAGAAGGCCCCGGGACGTGTTTACGTTGAGTTGTATAAACATCCTTCTTGTCTGTCTGTATCTCGCGAAGGAGTCAGAAACATGGGCCTTCTTTCTTTCTTTCTTTCTTTCTTTCTTTCTTTCTTTCTTTCTTTCTTTCTTTCTTTCTCTTTTTTTCTTTCATTATTTTTGGGTGGGTGGGTGAGCTGAGTTCTAAACTCACCCTTAAAAGAGAGAGGGGGGGGGAAAGAGAGAGGGAAGGAGGGAGCCTTAAATTCATCTATTCTATCGTTTTCTTCCTTTATGGTTGCGGGTAAACAATATTGTGTAATCACCATTGTGGGCTAATTTGTTTTTTCTTTTCCTGAGGGGCTGATTTGTTTGGGGGGGGGGTCCGAATCAACGTCTCTAACACGTGTCGTCGTCCCCCGCCCCCATTTCATGCATTTAAAGATGCAGCATCTCGGAGGCGAGTGTCACCAATGCACAAATACACCCGCCTACGTTTGCAAGGGTTGTGGAATTGGGGAGGGGGGGCAGGGGGAAATGCGAGAGTGTTTTCCCCGCGGGGTCTGGGGTATCTGGGGGTGGGGGTGGGGGGCGGTAGTCCAACCCATCGTAAGGATCAACTTTTCGGCTACAAATAAACATCGTAAACGTCACATCTGGCCGGCGAATGGGTGGCATTTTTTAAAAAAACAGACCGTCCAGATAACAGTATTTTACGTGGGCGTCTCTTCTTCCCAGTTCCCTTCCAAAGGAGAAATCTTCAGGAAAGGGGACGCGGGTGGGGGCGGAGGAGGGAAGGCTCTGCTAGATGTTGAGTGGAGCTTCAGTAACTTCTTAAGCCGGCTCCTCCGGGCACTAAACCAAAGGGTGTATTATTTACTGCAGTAAATCCAGAAAGGTCTCCGTGGGTTGAAGAAGCGCCTCCCCACCCCCCACCCCCGCCGGAGCTTTCGAGGAAGGGGGGGGCGCCGAACCGAGGCCTAGAATCAGCTTCGCAATAACTCTACAACATTCCCTTAGATGGGGGAAGGGGGGGGGAAGGGTAGCAGATGGGGGAGGAGAAATGTTCTCCCTATTTTTCCTGGGGAGAAAATTCGGGGCTCCCTCTGGCTTCTCGCCGTCTCCCCGAAAGAGCGGAGGCCGAGCGAGCCTCTATTCCAAGGGCGAACACGCGTTCCGGGGGTGTGTGTGAAAGGCCTTCCTTCCCGGGACGGCAGCGGCGAAGTCCTTCTCTTTTCCAACAGGCCAAAGCGGACGGCGGGGATTGGGGGGGGGGGGGGGCGGAGGGGAGGGAGGGGAGGGCGAACCGCTTCAGAGCAGCTCCGGGTTGGAGCAGAGGAGGAGCAGGGGAGGCTTTCCGCGCCCACCAATGTTGAGTTGAGCGGCGGCGGGGACGGGGGGGGGGGGCGGGGGCAGGGGGCGCGGGGGCGGGGTCTGCTCCCTCTGCCTCTTACGTCGCGCTGTCAAGAGCCGCCAGGCGCCCGCTGACTCGCGATAAAGTGAAAGGCAGCCGCTTCGGCTGGGGGCAGACCGGCGATTCCACAGGCAGAGCAGCAGCGGCGGCGGCGGCGGCAGTTCCCGGCTGGCAGAGACCCGGGGAGCTTGGAAGGAGGAGGAAGCGCGAGGCAGGCGGGGTGGTGGTGGGGGGGGGGAGCGAAGAGGAGAAGGCCGGATCCTCCGCGGAACCTGAAGAACCGGGAGGGGGGAAGGGCGAGGAGGAGGAGGAGGAGAAGGAGAAGAGGAAGGAGATTGTAAATTAAAAGGAGGAGGAGGCAGAGGAGGAAGTACAGGAAGGAAAGGAAAGGAAAGGAAAGGAAGAGAGAAAGAGAGAAAGAGAAAAAAGAAAGAAAGAAAGAAAGAAAGAAAGAAAGAAAGAAAGAAAAAGAAAGAAAAGAAAGAAAGAAAGAAAGAAAGAAAGAGAGAAAGAAAGAAAGAAAGAAAGAAAGAAAGAAAGAAAGAAAGAAAGAAAGAGTAACTCCTGCGCCGAAAAGCAGCAAGATCCGGGCAGCCGCTCCTAGTTTGGATCCTCGGGAATAAATCCCGGGGTGGGGGCGGGAGTTGGACCCCTTCCTTGCCAAGAGGGGCGCGCCTTCGCGTCACTGCTCCTTCTTCTCCGGGGTTCCTCCGAGGTAGCCGCCCGCCGCAATCGGCGCTTGGAGAAGAGCCGCCCCGTGGATCGCAGGGCCCTCGGCGGCGGCGGCGGCGGAAGGCGGAGGAGCGAGCCTGGTGAGCGCGCCAGCGAGCGCGCGCCTGGGGAGGCCGGTCCCCCTCCCTTCCCGCCCCGGAGCCTGTCCTTAGGGAGGGGTGGGGGCGCTCGGTAGCCGTCGATGACCGCAGGGCTGCTGCTGCGCGCTCCTGCCTCTCGCCCGCCGCCCCCGCCGCCGCCGTTGCCCGAGGCCGGGGCGCTTGCTATGTCCGCAGCCTCCGACAAGCCCCAGCCGCCGCTCGGACCCGCCGCCGCCATGGAGGCCGCCTCGTCCACCAGTTCCTCGACGCCCAGCAGCAGCGGCGGAGGCGGTGGCGGAGGAGGCGGCGGCGGCCCCAAGCCCAAGAAGAGCAACGCGGGCATCCGCCGCCCGGAGAAGCCGCCCTACTCCTACATCGCGCTGATCGTGATGGCCATCCAGAGCTCGCCGTCCAAGCGGCTGACCCTGAGCGAGATCTACCAGTTCCTGCAGGCGCGCTTTCCCTTCTTCCGCGGCTCCTACCAGGGCTGGAAGAACTCGGTGCGCCACAACCTCTCGCTCAACGAGTGCTTCATCAAGCTGCCCAAAGGGCTGGGCCGGCCGGGCAAGGGCCACTACTGGACCATCGACCCGGCCAGCGAGTTCATGTTCGAGGAGGGCTCCTTCCGACGGCGACCCCGCGGCTTCAGGAGGAAATGCCAGGCCTTAAAGCCCATGTACAGCATGATGAACCTGAATTTCAACCACCTCCCCGACAGCTACGGCTTCCAGGGACCCTCCTGCCCGCCCAGCGGCCTGCCCTTGGACGGCGGCGCCCTGGGGATGGTCAACGTGGACGGCATGGGCCTGGCCACCCACTCCGTGCCCCACTTGCCTTCCAACGGCGGCCACCACGCCTACATGAGCAGCTGCGGCGGCGGGGGAGCCGGGGCCGCCTCGGCCGGAGGGGACTACGGCCACCACGACGGCTCGGTGCCCGCTTCCCCGCTGCTTCCCGGCGGAGGGGTGATGGAGCCCCACTCGGTTTACTCCGGCACGGGCCCCTCGGCTTGGGCGCCCTCGCCCGCCCCCGGCTTGAACGGCGGCGCCTCCTACATCAAACAGCAGCCCCTCTCGCCTTGCAACCCGTCGGGCAACCCGCTCTCGTCCGGCCTCTCCTCGCACTCCTTGGAACAGCCCTACCTGCACCAGAACAGCCACAACGCTGCCGAACTTCAAGGTAAGGCTCCGCGGACGGGCGTCGGGAGCTCTTGGACCAGGACTGGAGACGGGCGGGCCCGAGCTTGGGGTGGGAGGTGGGGGGAAACGGGTTCAAGGCTCGGGGAAAGTGGAAGGCAAGCGGCCGAAGGGCGAGCGCTTTCGCTGCCCAGCTGAAGGGGGTCTGGCAAAAGGGCGGCTGGAGAAGCTGGGGGAGAAGGAAGAGAAGAAGGGACGCGGGTGGTCGCGCAGGGAGTGGCAGGCCTGGGGAGGGGAGGCTAAGGGAGGCGAGAACCGCTCCGAGCAATTCCGGGTTGTGCCTCTCTTAGGGAATAGCTGGCCGCGGGACAACCCCTCGTTATTCCTGGCGTGTATCCCTTCCCTGGCTTCCCCCAGCCGTGGGCCAAAGAGATTGCAGTCTCTTCCTCGTGGGAAGGGAAGAGGGGGTCCCCCACCCACAAAAAAAGGCAGGTGAGGCCTCCCCGAGAGGATGGCGTGGGGTGTGTGTGCCTTGTCTCGGAGGGCCCTAATGAAAAAACGAGTCTTGAGAAACGAAGGTGAAAGGGAGAAGAAAGAGGGTCGCTGGGGGAAGGGGAAATCGGTGGGGTGGTCTCAGTCAGCCGAGGTGTGGGTCAACCCGGCGGCGCCAGGAAGGGAAGGGCTCTCAGCTCCCTGCCTGCAGCGTCCTGGATTTACCCGCTTTCCCAAAATTGCTCAATTAACGCTGTTCCCCCCCCCCACGAAGAAATCCGGCAACAAATGCAAAAGGCGCCCCCGAAACACGAGAAGCCGCCGCAGCAAAGCTCAAATATCTAGGATGAAGAGACCCTTTTGCCCCCCAATTCGTTAGCCTTAGAACTGCCCCTCTTTCCTCCGATTTAAGGGGCTAAAATCGAGGGAGACGAAGAGCGAGAAGAATTTAACCGTCTCTTTCTCTGTCCTGGCACTCCTATCCCGGGTGATGTCAGAGCCTCGCCACGCGTGAATATTATTTTGGGTTTCGCTGTTATATTTCTTAGAAGCCGTGGACACGGAAGGATAATTCGGCAAAATCCGCAGGTGGGGTCGCGATAGAAAAAAAAAGATAGACTAAAAATCCCGACACTCTTCCATTTGGTTTTAATATTTGCTGCAGCCTAAATTTTATGCAAATGTAATTTGGACAGAAATGATTATTTGGGTTGGTCGCACCATCAGCCAGATGTTTAGACTGGATTTATCCACCCATCAAGTATCTAGCATCATTATGGGTGGCATTTTTATCCACCTAATAATAATAATCTAATAATAACCTAATTATAACTATTATTATTATTATTATTATTATTATTATTATTATTATTATTATTATTATTATTATTATTATTATTATTATTATTATTTAATCTTCCATTCGATTCACAGTCTGGGACTGGTAAAAACTTAACAGTTGAAGTTTTAATCAAGGACCTAAAAGCTGTTAAGGTAAAGTCTGAATATATAGGCAGTTCCTAATAGGGTGGTTTTTTGCAAAGTCAGAATATTCAGGTCTGATAAATTCAAAATTTCCATATATCTAGGCAGCCCTTTGGGTATTGGTCCAAGGACTCCTATTAATATTACTATTGTTATTATTAAATATTTAATCCTCAATTCACTTCACAGGCTGGGACTGGTAAAAACTTAATAGTTCAAGTTCTAAGGATGGACCTAAAAGCTGTTGCTGCTGCTATTATTATTATTATTATTATTATTATTATTATTATTAGTAGTAGTAGTAGTAGTAGTAGTAGTAGAAGTAGAAGTAGAAGTAGAAGTAGAAGTAGAAGTAGTAGTAGTAGTAGTAGTAGTAGTAGTAGTAGAAGTAGTAGTAGTAGAAGTAGAAGTAGAAGTAGTAGTAGTAGTAGTAGTAGAAGTAGAAGTAGAAGTAGAAGTAGTAGTAGTAGTAGTAGTAGTAGTAGTAGTAGTAGTAGAAGTAGAAGTAGAAGTAGAACTATAGAAGTAGTAGTAGTAGTAAATGTACTTTTATCCATCTATAATGTACTTTTATCCATTGTTATTATGGCTGGCATTTTTATGCATCTATCCAGCATTATTATTATGGTTGGTAGCACAGTTGGCCAGATGTTTATTATTATGATTATTATCCCAGATAATGCAAAATGAAGGCCATGGGGATGAATAATTGAGAATTCATTCTTTCACCTTGATTTCCTTGTTCTGGTGGCCAAATAAACAGGAACAGTTTTAAAACGTGAAAACAAGCGGCTTTAGAAATGGGATTGAAATTTATATTTTAATTCTCTGGAAAGGCAACGAATATTAGTCACATAGCAGAAATCACTATCGCAGGTAGTAAGAAGGCCTGACTAAGTTTCAGGTTTTTGCTTAAATTGGTGGCTTGTCTTCTTAAGTTGATTTTATCTATTAGGAGGTTATTGATGGAGAAATAACCTCTGTAGGAATAAAATGAAGGTGTAAATCCTTTTTAAAAAAAATTTCTTGGTCATTTCACTATCCTGCTTCATATTTCTATGTGCCCGATACAAGCAGAGTTTTCTTGGAGTATGTGAAGTTGCATTTTCCCAAAACTCTCAGCCTACTTGGAAGATTAACTTGTTTTCTGGATTCACACAACACAGGAAGCTCCCCAAACAAAATCAAAAATAACACATTTAAGGCCAGCAAAATTTATTATGTCATCTGAATGCCGCTGCTCAGTTTTTCCCTGGTTAAGTGGGTCTTATGGACGCAGCTGGAGCAGAGTCGGGACACCTGAAATAGGCCCTTTCCAGCTGGCAACCAGAGCTTTTGATGGCCGTGCCATTTCGCTTTGGGCCCCTGTTTTAAAAGCTTCAAAAACGTCCAAAAACTCTTAGTTTTGTCGCCCGCCTTTTTCTTGGTTTACAGAGCAAAGTGTCATTAATCGCGCGAATAATCTTCCTAATAACGAAGCCGCCTTGCAAAGTCACGATTAAGGGTGACCGAAGATGCTGATCTCCCCTGCAATTGATCGCTAAAATGATTTTTTTTCCGACCCGATCATTTAATTTTCCTCCCCATGAAATCGAGCTGGTGGGGGTTTTTTTGTTTTTTTTTTTACAAACGCGCTGTTAAATGTGTGGCATTCAGAGACAAAAAAATAATCAAGTCCTTTCCAGCTGGCGATCGTTTTTAGAGCCGCCTTTAAAAACAGCTGTAGAGATCGGCTTTTCGACGTGGTCTCTCCCCCCACCCCCAGACAGGTCCCCGCTGAGAAATCTGGAGCCCTTTTGATCTCTCTCGTGTGTAAGACATAAACGTCTTTCTTCCCCCCTGACAATTTTGTTTGTTGGACTGGGGTGGGTGGTGGGAGTTGTGACTTTTTCCTCGCTTTCCAACCAAAGCATCCTCAAACTCTCCTTATCCTCCCACCACCACCACCACCACGCTGATTGAATCAGGGTGAATCAGTCCCTGCGTTCCGGCAAACTTGGCTGCTTCCAGAAAAGATGAAGATTTAAGAGTGGGTGGGTGGGTGGGTGGAGGGGTCCTACCGTTAGGGGTGTGGGGAAAAATACCCTCGATTTCTAAGCAGAGACAGACACCAGGAACTTCACAGGGTCCAAGAATTGGTGAGCCGGTTAAAATCAATGCTGATTTTCAAGAAAGAAAGTGAAATGTGTTTTTTTCCCCCCACGTTTTTCCTACCTTCTTTCCCTCCCCCCCCCCACCCCGCTTTCGGTTTATCTCTGGGTGGGGAGATAACCTGGGTAAGACCTCAATACAGTCAAAGTGGTGAGAAGGGCCCTTTGAAACTGACCAGGCCTTCCAGCGGGAAACCGTCAAGCCTTTGGGGGGAAAGCCGCGAGGCCTACAAGAAAGGCGCGGAGCCTGGCGTGGTTTTGATTCCACCACCCTCCTTTCAATTCCTCGTGGGTGGGGGAACCTAAACCCTCCCCAGAGACAAGGAGCGTTCAAAACTCGGCTCGCCCCGCCTGGAACACGCGAGGCTCGCTTTGGGAATCTCTTTAGAATCGGGGCGGAACGCGGGTGGGGGGGAATCGAGAGAGGGTCCGCGCGTGGGGCAGGGTTCGCAAAGTCGAAAGGAAGCCGCTTTGCGACTGAGGCCCGCAACGGCCGCCTTGGGGGGGGGATGGTCTCCTACTAGCAGGCGTAGGGTCGTCCCCCTCCACCCTCCGCTTCTTAAATCGGATTTAAGACAAGGAGAAGTCAGCGCGTTGCACGCGCGTCCCTTGCGCGGAATCTTGCCTGACCGAAGTCAAAACCAGGCGCGAAAGAAAGGATCTCCCAATTCCGTCAGGCTGGTTTACCCAGTTGGAATCGGGAAATTATGAAACTCTAAATGGGAAAGGAAGGATGGGTAGATGGCGCGCGGCTACAAGAAGATCCAGAGACAGCGCTGAACCAGATGTCCTCTGTCCTTTGCGATTGTGTCCTCTGTCCTTTGCGATTGTGGTGACACTCAGACAAACAACAACATGTGTGTATCCGCCCTTTGGGTCCCCATCAATGCAAGTTTGAGGATTTCATGGCAGCCCGGCCGAAGGCAATTAAATGTTTGCTAGTTTCCGGCCAAGATCTGTTTAATTTAATTAATACACAGCTTAATCTTGTTTTTTTTTTACACATTCGATTTTTATGCTGTGTAGTATGCCTTGTTTTAATTGCGATGCTTCTGACACGGACGAACAAACCAACGGCGGTTGGAAGGGAGAGAAGTTTTACTAAGGGGTGGAAGAAGTTAAAATCACGTCTCAGCGTTACTGAGGGGCAATTATTCCAGGTAGCGCCCATATTCCCACCTCCGCTCTCCCGTCTGTCCGTGGGGTTGAAGGTTTGGTTGGTCTCTGCCTTGGTTTAAGTGGAGCGATCTGTTAATCCCAGCAATCTTCGGATTTCGCCCAGGCTATTAACAAAGGACACCAATCAGGCAGAACTGCTTGAAGGGGAAAAAATTGAGGAGGGAAAAAGAGAGAAACCTTTTTTTAAAAAAATGGAGGGGGGGAGAGAGAAAATGACCGCCAGCATTTCAATTTCTTAATGCTTCGTGACCTCTTCGCCATCTTAGCAATGTATTGGCGAGGTGGTTTGAAAGAGGTGTGAAAGGACCTGGAGTTGGATTTTTTTAAAAAAATAAAAATTAAATTAAAAAATCCACTTTGGGCATAGGAGGCTCTTGGAAATGTCGAGGAGATAGAATCAATGTGGGTGTAACATTTACACTTACAAAAGTAATGTTTAGAATGGGATGGTTTTTTAAAAAAAAAAAAACCCAGAAAAAACCCGATAGAGCCTTTTCCGACTAACAAATATAATTTCCTAACTTTGGAAAAAGTGCTACTGGATTATTCTTTCTACCGCGATTTTTAGAAAACAGAGAAACCCTTTTCCAAACAGAAATGAGAATGGAGGCAAAAAAAAAACAAAAAAAACCTACAATTACTACTTTTAAAAAAGCACTTTGGCAGTGGTGTGTGACTGGGCACAGATTTACCTTATCAAATAACTCTAAAAAGAAAATAAATGAACCGAGATTAAGCTCTGCTTCTATCTCAGAGTCTCCCTGTGTAACGGGAGGGGGGGGGGGGGGCGTTCGTACTCGCTCAGTCCTATAATGCACCCTGCAATGTGCTACCTTGAAATATTATTTAAAATAATTTAATTGCTCAAGTTTCTAGCTCGCATGCTTCAATTCTTTTGGCAGGCAGGCAGACCTTGAGGTGCTTTTTCGTTAAAACGAGACAGGAGTCGATTCTTGTGCAAGGGTAAGGTTTAGGAGGAATAACAAGCAGGCCAACCTTGTCTTCTTAGAAGGAAGTCCCACTAAATTGGGTGGGACACAAATCCCTAATAAATTAATATCTCCTTCCTCCTTCAACACGAATAAAAGTCTAGAAAAACATCCTAGTGGGGAGAGTTCCTTGGAAACCGATGTTCCAGCTTGATTTCTTACTTGGGTTTAAAGATTTCCAAAAACTGTCAACAGCTGCAAGGATCTGTAAGTATGTGTGCCAGAAATTATTTTATGGCTTAGGCTGATTTTGCAGCCTCAACCCTGCAAAAGTTGCAGGTCCTCCTGTCCTCCTGAGAACAAGGAGCAAGGTTGAGCTCTGCTTTTAATAAAAGGTCTGTTTGTGGTCCAGGATTGGGAAAGTTTTGTTTACATTTATTGGATATCTTCGGTAGGGCGCAGAAATCATGTAGTCATTAGGAACAATTAAAAAAAAGAAAGAAATTAGGGGCTTGTTTTTCAGCGAGCTGGAGGGAAGCGAGCCCCCCAGTTCTTCAAGAAAGTTAAAGCGAGGCACAAGAGTTACCACCCCACCCCCTCCAAATTTTCTCCTTCCTCGGCCAGTCAGGAAACAGACAGTCCCATCCCATCCTGCAATTTGCAATTGGACAAAATTCCTATTCTGAACAAGTAGGAATTTCCTTAAGCCAAACACAGATACACACACACACACACAAGAGAGAGAGGGAGAGAGAGGGAGGGGGAGAGAGAGAAAGTGTGTGTGTGTGAGAGAGCATGCATCAAACTCAATAATTTAATCTAATTGGACTTAACAGTTGGAGCAGAAAATTTTCCATCCAGGAACAGAAGTTGGGCCAGTTGACATGGGAAGATAAAACAAATAACAATCTTGCCAGGGATCCAGAGTTGATTAATTAATTTACTTCGTTTATCTTCTGTTTTTTGGTTCCTAATGAATCAGTCATGTAGTTTTTCACATAACTGGCTTGGAAAACTCATTTTCCACCCCCATGATTCCACCTGCATTTTGGTGGGGAACAAAAATAGATTTGATTTTTTTTTTCTTCAAATGGACTGTGAGTTTATGAGCAGTTTGTGACATGGTACTGAATTCTACTGTCCAAGGAAAGGGAACATTCAGCCATTCCACATTTAAAAAAAAGAAGTTTGAGGCTATGAAACCTCTGGCAGCCATAGGCTTGTATTCCCACGACACTCTTATCATAGCTGGCTTAACAATGGTTGACTCAAAGGCCTCAAACCAATTTGTTGGGTTTGCAATCAGTAACTAATCAACAATGCCTTTGGGTCGAAATGTGGATAGTAGTTTGTGGCCCCATGTATTATAGCCAGAAAATCATATATATGATGCATTCAGCTGCAGTTAATAATTGGATAAAGCCTTTAATTAGGAGTAACTATAATTTAATGGATACACTCAATGATATTATCCATCTGTATTTTGTCTAACCACAGGCCAAAACTGTTAGGTGCTTTTTATTCCCCTTCCTTCCTTCCTTCCTTCCTTCCTTCCTTCCTTCCTTCCTTCCTTCCTCCCTCTCTCCCTCCCATCTATCCATCCATCCATCCATCCATCCACCACCCATCTTTCCTCCCTCTCACACTGTTTGGATGTTCTTTCTTTCTTTCTTTCTTTCTTTCTTTCTTTCTTTCTTTCTTTCTTTCTTCCTTCCTTCCTTCCTTCCTTCCTTCCTTCCTTCGAGTCAATCACAAAAGTTGGCCTGTGTTTAAAAGAAGCCCCCCCCTCGTCAACCTCAGCAATATTCCTACTTAGATTTAAACCCTTCCTATTATTGTCAGCTGCAACAAAAATTATTGTCTTCATCCTTTTCCAAAGCAAACAGAATTCAAAAATCACTCTCTAATCCAGCAATTTTCCTGCTGAACCAGGAAGTCTCCAGGGAGACGCCATTTCTCTCTTCCCCTCCTTCAACCTTCTCTCTGCTTTGCTTTCAGGAATCCGGTACCATTCCCAGTCTCCGAGTATGTGCGATCGGAAAGAATTCGTCTTCTCCATCAACGCCATGGCGTCCTCTTCTATGCATTCAGGAGGCAGTGGCTCCTACTACCACCAGCAAGTCACATATCAAGACATCAAACCTTGCGTGATGTGACAATGATGCTGGGGAGTCCAGCTTCCTCGGGGAGGAGAGAGAATCCCGAGGGATCTGTGTGAAAACTCTGTGGGACTTCCTGCTGCAACTCTTCGTTGGGAGCCACAAGGCCTCCCCAGAAGTTTGTCTGTTAGTTGTTCATGAGGTATATAAATATTCAAGGCGTCAATGGAAGGAACACTGCTCTGTCTTTCGGCAAAGGTGATGCATTTTGTGCGTCTTTGGGAGGGGCGGACCCCCCCAAATGCCCAGCGTTGCTTCTTTCATCCTGGGAGGACCCCTCTCCCAACCCCCCCAGCCCTGAGACTTGCTACACCCCTTTCCGAGAACCACTTTCGGATTCCTTCTTCCAGATCTAAATCCAGCCCCTTTCCAAAGATATACCCTGCCCCTTCCCCACTCCAGCATGTAATGTTCCATTTTAATGAGCCTGGATGAGAATGGATTTTAAATGTGGAGGGACTTACAAGAAAGGAACAACTTGAAGAACAATCCCTCTGACAGCAACTGACCAGACTTTTTTTTTGGAGAGTTCTTCATTTGGCAAAGGTTGGCCTGTCGTTCTGGCTTTTCGGGCTTGGCACTATGGAGAAAATATATTCTACTCTCTATGTCTTTGACCCCTCGTCCTTTAAGGCTTTCTTCCAAAACCGTGTGTTGTTTTCCATCGTTTTCTCTATCTGAAGGGTTGGTGAGGTTTTTGAAAGATGAGCCTCGCGGACACACAAGCCCGCAGACAGACCACAGCCTAGCAAAATAGGATTGGGACCGACCACCTTGTACAACGGGCCTGATGTTCTAAAACTCACTTTCCTTCTGGCTATACAAAAAGCCTATTTTAAATATTAAGTACAAAATTACAAAAGCACTTTGAGAAATAAAGGTTGAAAATGGGAATAAAAAAAGACTAACAAGGCTCACATGCTTATTTATTCAAACTTTTTTTAAAATAAATCCCAACAGCAGCCTTGATCGAGCAGTATTAGAATGGTTCATGTGCCGGCAATATTTGCTGTAAAAAATTGTATGGATGAGGAAAGCTGTGTGACTGTTAGTGGGAATGTATGTTTCAAAAAATAGTGGCAAATATCAAACAGCCGTAGGGCACAATGACCCCTGCGATTTATTGAAACGAAGGATGCTTTTGGGGGGGAATAAATTTATTCTTTTTTTTTTTTGCCTGAGAATAGATCTTTTAGAAGACACACCGATTTTAAATTTTATTCTGCACTGTATAAAAAATGTAATTATGGCAGAAGGGGTCTAGTCCCTCTATTTTTGTGTACATTCTTTTTTTTTAAAAAAATGGAATGCAAATATTTTTTTTTTAAATGTGTGGTATTCGTACACCTCGGACACAAATTGTATAAACTGTAAATAAATCAGTGTGACATAGAAGTCTGCGTAATGGCATGCTAAGAATAAAAGTCAAAGGAAAAGAAGTCCTTTTTATCCTGGGACATTATCCTGGGACATACATATTTGTATAGCTGCCTTCATTCGTGAAAAAGAGGCCCGTTCTCCATCCAAGCCTTTCACAGGAATTCAGTCTAATTCTACACACATACACTCACTCTCTGTGGTGTGAGTGTGTTTTTCTCCATTGTAAGACTAACTAAGGGAAGACTAACCAAGTTGTGGCTGTTAGGTGAATGAAGTTGCTATTTTTGACATGGGTTAGCTTAAACTTGCGTTGGTGAGCTGAGTTGGCATGTTCAAAACTTCCTTCCTGAATTTCTCTTTCCCCCCTGTAAATAAGTTGTTCTGCACATTTTAAAGTGTGCAAAAATTCGAACTTCTGCCTGTGGTCAGTGGAGATAAGCAGATTTGGAACCTGTTTTGACTCATTGCCTCATTCAGAGTGACAATGGGTTAAGTTTCACCCATGAAGGCAATGGTCGGGTGGAAGGATGGATAGAATAACTTCAGGAAGGAATTGGGGTGGAAGGGGGGGGGAAACACGCAATTCCCACCCTCCCATAGATAATGCAACAGAAGGCTTTCTGAGTGGAATTATCTTGCATGACGGAATGATTGTTTTTATGTCCTTTCTCAGTTGTTGATAGCTTTTGCTTGACTTCATTTCCAAGGACGTAATATCTCACTATCTCTGTCTTTAAGACGGGATGCCAATCTGAAATGGTACGCATTTCCTCCACTCCTCCTTTCAGTCTGAAGAAGTGTTATATAACAATGTTATATCATAGTGGTTTGGGTGAATGTCTACTGCAACTACCATCTTCAGCCTTTAAATGTGTCGCAAATCCAGCATCTGTAGATTCAACTGCGTAGGACAGTGGTTGAGAAGGGCCACCTGGTCCAAGAATTGTTAACATTCAACACACCCATATTGCAATCAGGCTGATCATCAGACCCTGTTGGTGTCCGAAGTGAAGGATCCAGCTGCAAAATGTCTCCTTGTTATTTTTCATTTTAAAAAATGCTGCAAGTAAGAACTTGTCTGGATGGCACGGCTGCTGCTTTAATAACCGATTTCTCGGTGTCCAACCCAGACATCTAAACAAGTAAACGAACACCTGGGTCATCTGGAAAATGTCTTGTGCAAAATTAGAATCACTCCGGGGAATATGACAATAATTTCCCAGGTAATTTTTTTTAGATCCTTTCCTGAATTTTCAGCTTTTCTGACATATAGCTCTGAATGTTGGTTGCTGTCTCTGAGAAACATTTTAATTTCATTCTACCCAAACCAGTGAGAAAAATTAAACACGAAACCTTACTTGCAGAAGTCTGACAAGAGGTACAGAGGCCTCTATAAAGAAAATAGTTAATTTAGAGTCTCAATTTTGAACACTTCAAAGAAGGGGGAAAATGCTTGGAAATTTGTATGTATTTGTAAGAAGATTCCTCTGAAATATAACCTCTTTTTTCTTTCCTCCACTGTAACGCTTTGATGCTGACTTTCATCCAATACATACTTTGAAAAATTGCATTCCATGTTGATAATGTACAACGTACGATCGTAATGGAACCTGCCTATTATGGTTGTATGTCAGGATGATCGATCTAAAAAGTGTTATTCACATGACCAACTTGATTTTGCAATGTTCATTGTGACAATATTCGTTAAGCAAATCCCGGAGTCGTGAAGTGAATCCATGGTTCGCTGTGGGTGTGGTTTTGCAGAAACCATCAGACGTGGCACTTTTCAGCAAAACGGTTGCAAAACACCATCACCTGACCACAGGATGCTGCAAACAGCCGTAAAGGTAGCTGTGTTGCCAAGCACCCAAACTTTGGTCATGTGACCAGGAAGTGGCCTGACTGTTGGTAGCTATAGTCCCCTTTTTTGGTTGGTCATAAGCCAAGGACTACCTACATGGGAACCACACTTCTTTTGAAAAGAGAAGAGCCTGATGCATGTATACAATAGTGGCCAAAATTACAGAAACCTTTTGGGAAAAGTGTATTTTCTAAAACTAGCTAATAACACCACTTTTTTTGGGAGTAGGACCATAAAATTATATATCAATGGAAAGATCATATGATCAAGAATGTAATGCAATAACTTTTAAGAAGGATTTGCTATTAGAATAGCAGTTACAGTATAAAGAAGAAAAGTGAAACACGTAGAAAAAACGAGATAGACAAAAATGATCACCGTGTCAGTTAATACTTCGTTGGGTAACCTTTAGCATGAATTACGGCCTTACAATGTCTTCCCATGGAGGGAACCAAGTCTTTTAGTTCTGCAGCTGTTATCATGTGAAACCAAGATGGAATGATGGCTTCTATTAACTGGGTTTTATTGCTGGGTCGCTTCTGACTAACAAGTTTGTTTAGTCGGCTCCATAGATTTTCAATTGGGTGAAGGTCTGGGCTATTCCCAGGCCATTCCAGCAGTGGAATAGGATTATCTTGAAACTCCAAAAAAAAAAAAAAAAAAGTGGTGTTATTAGCCATCAAATCTCAAAAATACACTTTCCCCGAAAGGTTTCCACAATTTTGGCTACTACTGTACAATTCTCTAAATATAAAGATGTGAGCACAATAAATCCTTATTTAAAAAGCAGATGATGAACCTATTCTTCATCTACTGGGGTTGGACCACACAGTTTCAAATGGCTGACACATTCTTTTTTTACAGTAATAATCAGATTTTGCTTCCATGAAAGCCGGTGGGGGTGGGGGGGGGGGGGGGGCATCCCAATTAAATGGCCTTGTTGATTTCAGTCACTTTCACTGACCAAAGATCAACTCTGCATTAGGGCTTCCTAGGGAGTAAGTGGCCCTGAATTCAGTCTGCAAACAATTCATTGCCTTGAATTCAATCTGCAAGCAAACTTTCTCCGGATTTCATGACGCCTTTGAATCCGTGTCAAGCAAATATAAACCTGGATCAGGTTTACTCGAATGCAGGGATATGGCATGCTATTTTAGCCCAGATGTGTGATGCCCAATCCATAAAAGACAGGAAATGACCACTTGGCTGAAGTAAACATGAAAGAAAGCCCTAAACACTAGCCAGAAGTGTATTTCCAGGGACGCCTGTTTCTCTAGCCAGCTGGTTTGTTCTTGGAAAAAATTGGCTTTTTTCTTTGACTTGAGTGGAAGCAATTGCTGCCCATTGGGCAACACTCCCTGCTCAATCTTCTTGGCCAGGAAGAGTCAAACCATCCAGGTTAAGAAACTCAAGATGGTATCCACAACGGAGTGATTGATGCTCTGGCCATTTTTACAGGCATTGTGATGCTCATAAAAAAGGGTAGAACTTCAATGTGATGGCCACTTAGGCCTATTCTGACTCCATCCCATGGACATGTCTGAAGAAGACAGATAGGTAAAAGGAGAAGTTAAGAGTCTCATTTGCATTTCAGGTAGTCTTGCATTTATTATCTGTTTTGTATCTCCTGCCAATCTTATCTTGATCCACAATCTGGCTTCACAAAACCGACTGCCCCAAAGTCTAGTTAACAAACCAGCAAGTCCCTATATCTTTGCATGTCCTAGTCAGGGGTGAAATCCAGCAGGTTCTGACAGGTTCTGGACAACCGGTAGCAGAAATTTTGAGTAGTTTGGAGAACCGGCAAATACCGCCTCTGGCTGGCCCCCGAGTGGTGTGGGAATGGAGATTTTGCAATATCCTTCCCCCAGGAGTGGAGAGGGAATGGGGATTTTGCAGTATCCTTCCCCTGGAGTGGGGTGGGAATGGAGATTTTGCAGTATCCTTCCCCCAGGAGTGGAGAGGGAATGGGGATTTTGCAGTATCCTTCCCCTGGAGTGGGGTGGGAATGGAGATTTTGCAGTATCCTTCCCCTGGAGTGGGGTGGGAATGGAGATTTTGCAGTATCCTTCCCCCAGGAGTGGAGAGGAATGGGGATTTTGCAGTATCTTCCCCTGGAGTGGGGTGGGAATGGAGATTTTGCAGTATCCTTCCCCTGCCATGCCCACCAAGCCACGCCCACAGAACCAGTAGTAAAAAAATTTGGATTTCACCACTGCTCCTAGTGGTGTGTAGTTCTTTAATTAATGAAAGGTTGAATGTGCCTTCCAAATTCAGAGCAAGCTACAAAATGCAGGTCGCAACAACTAGATTTCAAGGCTGTTTTTTTTTTCAAACTGGGCCCCTTGAAGATGCATGGACTTCACTTCCCAGAATTGCCACACCAGCCTGCTTTAAAACCTTGGTTCTAAATTCTGGCTTCCATAAACCAAAACCAGAACTCTTCTAGCTTTGAACGACACATTAAGAAGACGGCTTTAATTATTGAGTCAGGATAAGGTGATGAAAGGATCTCACTTGTTATTCAACTTCTAGGGCTATTTCAGAATTTGTTGTGTTTTTCCCAGCACCAAAAAAATAAGGTCATGAAAAGTTCCCCAGATCTGAGACTATTTGAAATTTAAATATGGTGTTGAAAGCAGACTAGAATTACAGCTGTGAAATGTCTATTTTTTTTAAAAAAAATCACTGCTCATTTCCTTCCATCCTAGCTTTCTCTAGTTTTTTTTTTAAATGATGCAAAAGCAGGAAGCAATACTTATAAAGACAAAATTCTGAAATACCCATTTTGGGGAAGAAGTTATTCCAAAGGGGATTAAATATGGCTAGAGCTGGTTCTAATATTCAGTATTATTTCCTTCTTTCCCTAAAACACAGATGTTTTTTTAAAATGCCAAGACAAGATATGAAGGAAACTTAGTGAAACTGAAAGATGTCTTCAAGAGTATACTAATAACTATATTAAAAAGCTATTAAATGCAACAGAAACAAGTGACTTAGCTATTTGTTTGGCCAAAAAAACCTTTCTTTCCTTAGCTATGAAATAAATCAATGGGCAGAAATAATGCCAGGACATAGAAATAATTTTACGTGTTTGTGCAGTTCCTATTCATTTAAAAGAAATTGTTCATAATATTCTTTCTACTTATGG